ATGATGATGATGGTGGTGGTGGTGGTGGTAGTATGGAATCTTTCTTTGACTTTTTTGGTATTTTAATCCTACTCGCAGTGTCATCAGATAAGGTAGTTGATAATGGTTGTGTGGTGAGAGAGGATGTTGTTGCTATCGTTGACTCTTGAATGGGACTAATTCCACTTGATTCATTGTCTAATTTGATTTTAATCTTGAACATTGGTGTTGATTCTTCTTCAGACTTTTTCTTCTTTTTCTTCTCTTCATCATGAGGTTTCTTTTTCTTTTTTTCTTTCTTTTCTTCAGAGCTCTTTGATTCTTCAGTGGATGATTTATTCTTCTTCTTCTTTTGAATATTTGGAAGACTAGGCAACAATTCTGTTTGAAAAGTACGACCAGCACTACTATTAGTAGTAGCAATAGTACTCACACCACTCGTCAAAGTTTTTGTGTCACTACTACCACCACTAGGTATAGCAGTAGTGGTAGTAGTATGAGAAGAAGAAGAACCCATAAAAGTTGTTGTAGGTGTAGTCGTTGTGTGGTTCAAATTATTCTGAATGACATTACTAACAACCATCGATGGCTGAGTTGAGGATACACGAGTCGTTTCTTGTTTTTTAGATGCTATTTTTGGAATGTCTGGAAGATAGTGTGGAGTTGTTGTTGTTCCTAAATATGATTGAATATGATCATGAATGGTTTTTGTGAGTGTAGTAGTATCACTTGGTGTGGATGGTGGATGTGTGGCATTCAAATTTCCTAGTGAACTACTACTACTATACTTGTTCGTTGTATTCTGTTCTTCATCAGAGGAATCAGTCTCTTCATCATCCTTCTTTGTTACAAGAGTGGTGATTGGCTTGGTGATTGGCTTGGTTGGGATTGAGGTCTCTTTTAAATCTTGACTACTGGTGGGAGTCATCATTGAGGGAGTCGTTGTAGTACCAGCAGTAGTAATAGTGGTGGTGGTGGTGGTGGTGGTGTTTGCTTTCTTCTTTGGAGACTTTTCTGCCATTTTGTGTTGTCTCTTTGTAGCAGCAGCAGTATTTGTCACGAGTTCAGTATGATGACTACTACTACTACTAGGAAGAGTGATCATTGTTTGTTCTGCTGTTTTCATCATGCCCTTACTTGTAGAGGAAGAAGAAATTGCAGTAGAACTACTGACAGTGGTTGTTGTTGTTGCTTTGGACTTCTTTTTGGTAGAGTCATCTTTTTGGGAGAGTTGTTGAGGTATTGGAGGAGGTGTGATGGTGGAGGATGTTGTTGTTTTGGCAGTCATACTCATCGTAGCACTAGTACTACTACTACCACCACCTACAGATGGTATGATTACTGACGAAGAAGAAGAAGGCTGAGGAGGTATTGAAGAACTTTTCATGCTCATTTCATCACCACCATGTTGTTGTTGTTGTTGTTGAACAATCTCTTCAATTGCAAGTGCTGTTTTCATCATTTGTTTCACTGCATTACTATTCTTTGAAGGTATTTCTCGTCTCACACATTCCACGACATGTTTAAAATCAAATAAAAAGGCATTGGCATTTCGATAGAAATTTTTTACAAGTCTTTCCAAGAGAGTTGTGAATAGCATGGGATACGGTGATTTGACCAAATAAGGTAAGCTGCTATGGGAAGGAGATTTTGTAAATTCAGTTAATGTATGAATCAATTTCTTATTCACAAGAGTTGGAATATGTGGAAGTGATTTCATGAATGGAGTTTTGTCTTCAATATCTTTCAATTCCCAAACACTAATTTTATCCAATTCAGATTCTTCTGGCCATTTGACTTTGATTACTTCATACATACATTTAGGTTCTTTTGATGAAATGGGTTCAATACTAGCAATAGTTCCATCATAGGCAACAAATTCTGAATTTTCAAAGAAATCTAATTTTACAACATCTCCAATTTTGAGTGTTTTAAAGTAATGAGCAGCACATTGATAATGTTGTAATGTAATAATAAATGGTTTGCAAAATGAACTTTCAATTAAATCAATTTTAAAAGTATCACCTGTTTGAAATGGACTATAATTAGATCCTTCCATCACCTCATCATTCATGATTGCCTTTTTTGTAAGAGTCAAAGTAAATAATGTAATTCTTATATTCTCTTTAAGTACAATACTCTTGTATTCTATTTGAGAAACTGTACAATTGATGGATGGAGGAAACTGTTCAACATTTGGAACATTTTCAAAAACAGGAAGGACATAGGTCAAGGTTGAAATATCTTCTTTGATTTGTTCCATGTAAGCCTTATATCCTTCTCTAATAAAAACAATATCATCACCGAGTTGAGGAGCATAGAATAAGACTGGACGATAAGTGGTTTCAGTATGTAAGAGTTGACTTTGAGCATAGAGTAGTAACGAGTGTTCCGATTCAGCATCAAGGTTTACTTTACGAACAATGGTATTTCCATTTTTAATCTCTCCGATCGAGGAGGATGAAGAGGAAGATCGGGTGGTTTTCTTTTTTTTGTTTGTTGTTTGAGAGGAAGATTTTTGTTGTTTTTGCATGACTCTCATGGTGTTCAAATTGTCATGATGATGACCCATGATGAAATCATCATCATCACTTTCGTCGGTCGCAGAGTCGGAGTCCTCGTGATGATCCACTACTACTGGGTTTTGTTTTCGTTTCATTTTTTTTTGAATTTTTTTTAGTTCAAAATTTTCTTTTTTTGAAACCTCTTCTTCTTCCTTGCGATATTTGTGAACTTCAATCCGATTGTACATTTTCACGTAACTAATTGGAGGCTCTCCTTGGAACCATCAGTGTTGTGGTTTCTTCAAAAAAGACAATACTTTAATTATTTTTTAATTGTAACAATTTCAATCGAGATTGTTGAACCTGATCTGCTAATTGTTTCAATTCATCCAAAGAATGTGTCAAATATTTCTCTAATTGTTGAACACTTTCTTGAGAGGCATGAATTGCTGAGGTGGTCGTAATGCTCAATTGTTTTTCATCATTGTTACCAATCAATGAAGATGAGGAGGAAGATATGAGTGGTGGTGTTGTTGTTGTTGGTAATGGTGGTAATGGTGGTGATTGGGTTTGTGGAGAATAGGACGCTGTCCTTGTGTTTTTTTCCAATGTGAGAGATGACACATCTGTTGTGTCTCGATCATCACCATGATCAGCAGCTCTAGTGATGTGTGTCATGTTACCACTGAGATTCCTATCACCTGAGATTACTGGTGGTAATGTCTTGTATTTCAAATGAGTGTTAGATGTACTAATTAAATTTTCAATTTTCACATGAATAGGTTTTGATAATACAATGGGTAATAAATGTAATTCTTCTTCAAATGTTTTACAATAATTGACACTTCTAAAAACATAACAATGTTCAATAGTGGTGTAATGTTTTGAATGACTTGTTGATAAATGATCAGAAGAATCTGATAATAACATGGATTCATTAGAAATCATTCTGTCTGTAAATAATGCAAATATCATTGAATCTCTTTTTAATAAATTATTTAGAAGATAATAAAGAATATTCATTTCATTCAATGTCATGCTGTTCAAACTGGTATTAGATCTATATTTGAAATATCCAATGATTATATATTTAGAATCATCAATTTTAATATCCATCATGAGATCATGAAGATCCATCGTCGTGATGATGGGTGATGAATGGGAATGAAATAAAATAAAATTTGTAATTGGCCATGTCGATGATGAAAGATCAAGTGATCGAGGACCCAATAATAATCCATGAACATCACTCGGAGATTCTAAAATATATTTAAATATATTGGCGAGAGTGAATCGATGAATAGAAATCTGAGAAGGAGTAGTCTTCAGTTGTACAACTATTGGTGATGGCGATGATGATGGCAGTGCATGAAAGGAAGATGTCATTTTTTGAATTCAACCACCTGTGGCCACATGAAATAAACCCACACCTTCACCATTTTTGAATTCAACCACCATGATGATGTATACCTTCGACGTCGTGGGGACCCTATTGATGAGATCCTGAAGGGTCACTTCATTCCTGATGATCTTGAAGGGTCACTTCATTTGGCCAATATATGCTTAATTTTTGAATGGTTCTAAACATTCTTTTGAGTGACATGACACTCAGATTCAAGTGATTTCCTTACTTTCTGCCATAGTGTCGACGCGTCTTACTTTTTATTTCTTTGAATAAGTTCTTGCAGTTGGTGTTGAAGTTTGAATTCTTCTTTTTGTTTCTGAGAGAGAAATCTCCACCTTTCCAATTCCAATTCTTGTTCTTTATATTTTTGAAACTCTCGATGTTGTTTGTCATACTCGAGAAATAAATCCTTTGAAATAATTTTGTTTTTGAATAATTGATCTTCTTGCTTGGCCTTAATAATATCCATTTGTCCTTTATAACTGTTGAAGATGCATCTCAGTGACCTGCAAAATAAAATTATAAGAGAATGCATTACTTACAAATTGATGAGTGAATCTTTTCGATCTTGTAATTTACGTTTCATATCTTGTTCCTTTTTTCTTTAACATGGCCACCATTTGAATCAAATGATCCTTCTCAACTCTTTGACTATGAGACAGAAACTCTCTGAGCAATTTCTCCTCTCGTGCTTGAGCTCGTAACATTGAACCTTTCACAAATGCTTCATGTTCTTTTACAAGTTTATCTCTTTGCAATTTGAAAAGACGTTTTCGATGTTTGAGAGTGTGTTCGTCAATGGTGTTCTGTGTTTGAATTGTTTTTTCATTTCTCTTCCTCAAATCGTAATTCTCATCATCGAGGTGTGGCACATAAGGTTGAACTCGTTGATTTTCTAATTGAATAAACCAATCCAATAATTTGATTAATTCGAAGGTATCTCTCTCGAGTAATTTCCTTTCATCAATATTTCTCAAAATAAATGAATGTTTGAATCGCTTCCTTAAATAACCCATCAATTCAAGGAGATTGTATTGATTTTGAGAAACAGTTAATTTCTTCTCTCGAATGAATTTTGGATATTCTTCTGGATTAGTGAGAGGATTGTCTTTTGACAGAGCCTCATATAATATTATTAATAGAGAGGGTGAGCATTCAGAGAGGTGAGAGATTCTCTTTGCAACATTGTTGGTGTATTTGGAGAGCCATTGATTAATGAGCTGAGGATAGAAGATGTTTGGATCTTGATCCGTAGGAGGATAAACCACGCAAGTGATTTGAGAGCCACCCAAGTGGTGGTGGTGGTGAGGTGATTCGGATTTGGAGGATGATGATGGAGAACTGGAGGTGCTTGTCATTTGAAAATTTACAATTTTTTTGTTGTAAATATTTGAGAAACGGTTGAAATGAGAGGGAGTTTCTTGAACACCGTCGTCAATCATTATGAATCCTCCGAATCAAAAAAATATTCATCATCACACCATGGTCCAAACTTCCAAAGACAACACCCCAACCCATCATGACCAACATGATGATGATATTCCCGATGATCACCAAATAATGAATTCTAACGATCCATCCAATGATGATGATGAAGAACATTCACAACACTCGGAAATGTTCCACACAGAATTCAATCCTTCTCTTGATCGATATCCATACTGTATTGTTTGGACTCCAATTCCTCTCATCACCTGGTTACTTCCATTTATAGGTCATATGGGTATTGCCACTTCACAGGGTATCATCCATGATTTTGCAGGTCCATATTACATTAGTGTGGATGATTTTGCATTTGGTAAACCAACTCGATATCTTCCTCTTGAATCATGTTTAAATTCAGAACAATTGAGCAGATATGATTCAGTTATTAAGAATGGAGCAAAATGTTACAGATCTAAAATGTATAATTTCTTTTGTCATAATTGTCATCACTTTACAGTTCATTGTTTGAATGACCTGAAATTTAGAAGAAATCGAACGATTGGTATCATTGAAATTGCCTTTTTAATGTTTATTTATGGAAAATATGTGAATGGTCCAATTGGATTTGTCAAAACATGGTTACCCTTTTTAATTGTGTTTGGATTGGTATGTATATTCAGTGTTGTGGTGATGGTGGTGGTGGCAATAACTACTACTACTACTACTATATAAACATATATATTTTGTTGACATGATGATCTCACGACGACATGTACTAGTTGTTGATCCTCTTTTTCAAATTGAATCAATTATTTTAAAGACCATTGTCTCAATATCCCCGGCGCTGTTACGAAACTCGATCACTCACTGCTGCTGCTACTATCACCATCAGATCGATGGCCACCATGACTACTCCTCCTCCAAACTCGATCACTCACTGCTGCTCGATCTGCCACTATCTGCCACTACTACTTCCTCCCACCAACAAGTATTGTTGTGATTTTTTCACAGGTTGTGAATGATAAAAAGCACCTCCAAAGACATACATTCCAATCTTTCCATTCACTTCAATTCCAATATAAATATTACGAGCAAATAAATCCAATAATTGAATAAAATTAGGATTATTTCCAATATATATTTTAGAAGAAATTGAAACTGATTGTGAAATGGAAAGTGAATCAATGGTGGTCAAATTTTGAAAAGTATAAGAGAGTGGTGTTTCAATATCATAATAAACACTTTTTTGACTATCAAATAATTTGATATTCAACAAAATTGAATAAATTTCAATAGATAATATACTTGGATTGTTAGCAGTGAGAATAATATTAAATCCTACAGTTCGATCCACAATTGGTAATTGATTAATTTGTATTTGATTAATATAGACATAAGGTTGAGAAAATAATAAATTATATAATAATAAAATCGAAAATGATATTAACATCATGATCACAACGGTACTTGTTAAACAAAATGACCATTTCCATTTCCGAATGGTTGTGACTTGTGAAAGTAATATTTGTGTGTGATTACCATGATTGAGAATAGTATTGTTAGAACTATTAGGATTGAAAGAATTGAGTTGAGGAGTGAGTGAGTGATGATGTGAGTGGTGGTGATGATTGTGTTGATGATGGTTGGGATGAGAATTTACAAAGAGATGACCACAATGATCATCATCCAATAGAGTGGTAATATTCCGATTGTTCGTGACAGAAGGATAATAAGAATAATAATGGGAAGAAATGAGTGATGGTGATGGTACTGTTGGTGATGGTTGTTGCTGTTGTTGTTGTTGTGATGGTTGTTGTGGTGTCGTCTTTAAAAGAGCCGATGTTTCATCCACTTGGATGTGTTGTTGTAATGATGAGAGAGAGGAAGAAGAGGAAGATATGGAACTCATGGAGTAATGATGTTGATGAGGGTTTTGTTGTGATAAACTTGGTGGTGGTGGCAGTGAATGATGATGATGATGATGATGAATGGATTCATTATTATTGGTTGTAGTAGTAGTGATGGTGTTGTTGTTGTTGTTGTTGTTGTTGGCAGTAGTCGTGCCGGTGCCTGTTGTTGTTGTTGTTGTTGTTCCTTTGGTATTCTTCTTCTTCTTTGTTGGCACACCACTCAAACTTGTCTTGTCAAAAGTTGATGATGCAGATTTACCAAATTGAGTCGTATTAGTTGTACTATTTCGATGATGATGATTCATCAAAGACCAAGTTGAAGATGACATGAAAGAGGAGGAGGAGGAGGAAAGGAATAGAAAGTCTTCCTTCTCATCGTCATTGTCGTAATTGTGGTGGTGGTCGTCATGATGATGATGATCAACTGCAGTTGAGAGTTGTTGTTGTTGTTGTTGTGAATTCATCATCATCATCACCACGTGAGAATAATAGGGAAGAGAGAGTGAAGATGGATTTTTTGTCTTTCGAAAAATCTTGGAACCACTTTCTCTCCCTAAATATATATATATATATATATATTTCTACTCTCAAGTACCATGTCACATGATCTCTTGACATCAAGAGGATGAAGGTGATGAATAATATTAGATTCACATGCATCATGAAAATTCATACATTCTGAATAACCATAATAGTCATCACCCTAGAGCATTATCATGATGCATCCCCATCTACATCCAAATAAGTGAATTCAAATAATGATGCAATTTCACTGAGTAATATAAGAAAGTATTGATTCATTATATTATACAGATACGGTTGCTAGATCCTACACAGTTATATTTATTCTCTCACCCATTCCGAATAGCGTGCATGATTGAATAGGTTTATTAATATCATCGAGGTTGCCTTGTTGCTTTTAAAAAAGAACAAATCCTCGTCATCCTTGTACTCTTCGTTGTGTGTGAAAGAGAATACGTTGTTGTTCGAACATATGTTCAATAATACTTCTTCGTAAGGATGAAAAGACAACAACAACAACAACCATCGAATTATGCTCAGATTCCGAACCAAACCAACACCACCATGAACATTATTCGACATGGCCATCATCATCAACATCACCATCATCAACATCAACAACACTTTCTATTGTGCCAATACTTTAATCATTTGAATACTCTCCTTCGATATTCGTCCCATCATCATTTTGACAGCAATAGGAACAACAACAACCCCAATCCGAATAATAAGAACATCAACAACAACTTGAACACCACCACCACCACCACCACCACCAGAACTACTACTACTACTCCTCCTCCTCTTCGGATCCAAGTATCTATTGAATCAAATCATGGTGACAAGTGGAGTGGAGATTTCGAGAGTGTGGATGAACATTTGAATATGGAATTGACAAATGTTGAATATTCACTTTGTGGAGTATACTCCTCCTCCTCCTCCTCCTCGAATAGGATGAGAAATGTCTCGACTCGAATTAAGATGATCAACACACATAATGCATCTCATCATGTCCACAACAGTGAATTCTCTCATTTGAGGTTGAGTGGAAAATTCATTAAATACATTGCAGTGATGAATATGAATGAAATTATTTCACATCTCAACAACAACCACAATAACGACATGAACCCAATTACAACATTTGAATCGAACAACAACACTACTAGTAATGATCACTATGAGCCAATCGGTAGAGATAGTTGTGGAGAGGTGAGTCAAGTATTCAACAAAAAGGTAAGGCTATCATCCATTATTGATTTTATTAGTATTATTATTATTGTGATGACAATGAGTTGCAGCTACAAATTCTCAACTACTACTCGGCTCAATCCAAACGAAAAAAGAAGAAAACTTCTCATCAGCAGCGACCAGCCAGGAAAATCATTGTATCCGATCTTGCCATCGTTCGAGATTTTTGATTAAAAAATAAGCCTTTTCACCACCACCATCATAACAGTTTCTGATTCCCGCCTGTCAGTCAAATGTATTGCCCCGTAATGAAATCCATCTTTCATCGTGCCTGCTGTAGGAGCAGTGGTACGAACAGCATCAAGTTGCTTTCAAGGAACTCGGATGTATTTAAGAATGCTTCTTCTCATAACATTTTCACTAATTTGAAATTCCATCAAAATCATCATCATAAGGATTCCTTTTTTTCCATCTCTCTCCGAAATAATCATGTAGCAAGTCCTAACACATCAACAAATATTATACATACAACAGCAACAACTTGTAGCATTGATCCCAAAGAAGTCAACAAATTCTCACTTCTTGCCAGAATGAATGAATGGTGGAATCCCAATGGTTCTCTCAAAACTCTTCATCATATCAATCCAGCCCGAATGGAATACATTCGATCACGAGTCATCAAACATTTCAATTTGCAAGAAGAGGACAGTAAGCCTTTTAAAGGTCTCACGTTTTTAGATGTTGGATGTGGTGGTGGATTGGTGAGCGAATGTTTGGCTCGATTAGGAGCAACCTCAGTGATTGGATTGGATGCATCTAGTGATAATATTATGATTGCTAAAGAACATGGCAAGTCCATTGAGAATTTACAGTATCTTCATTCGACGGTTGAAGGTTTGATTTATTCTCACCAAGGCAACCACAAGGATACGATTCCCGCCCAAAATCAGTCCATGACTCATTCGTTTGATTGCATTGTATGTCTCGAGGTGATTGAACATGTGGCTCATGCTGAATCTTTCATACAATCTCTTTCTAAATTGTTGAATGAAAATGGATTATTAATTATGAGTACCATGAATAGAACTCCAAAATCCTATCTTCAGACGATTGTCATGGCAGAATATATGTTAGGAATTATTCCACGTGGTACTCATGAATGGAGAAAATATGTGACACCTCAAGAAATGTGTATATTTATGAAGAAGGCAAATATTGAGCTCGTGGACGTGGAGGGAATGGAATACAATCCATGGACTCATAAAACTACCATTGGAAGTGAAATAGATATAGATGTGAACTACTTTGCAGTAGGATGTAAAAAGAGTGTCTAGCTACCACAATATTTTTTCGAAGGTGTTGTTTATAATAACAACCAAAACTTTCATTGTAGGTTTTCGCGGTTAATTTTCATCAGATGCAAAAAAATGAAACTTTCTAACAAACCTCTTTCCTCGTCCAATGCCAACATTGCTGCTTCCTTTCAATACGAAGCAACCATGACCTCCGTTGATGATGAGAATGCTTTGTATGAAATGATGACCAAAGGCTCTCTCTGCAAAAGAAAGGACTTTCTGGACAAGGAAGATGAAGCAAAGAGTCATCCTCATAGGACATTCTATTACCGAAAGAACGTAAATTTGGATAAGGTGATTGAGTCTTGTACCAACAAGGTTTGTATTCATGAAATATTTAAAGGTTCATATTGATCCATATGATCCATATTCGCATATTAGCTCATGGCGGATCCATCAAATGTTAAGGCTTTACATGCTCGGGCTCAATCCTACTCAAAGAAAGAGGAATTTGAAAAAGCCATTCAAGACTTTACATCAATCATTCAAATACTCGTAACATCATCTCCAAGTGGAATCAACAGCGTAAACTCATCCTTTAATACAAGCAAAGTGAGCAGTAGCTCGTTTCTTATGGGTCCAACGAACTCTTCGCTTGTGAATGCTTACTTTAATAGAGGTCAATGCCATGAAAAATTGGATCAACTCGATAAGGCTCTTGAGGACTATTCGATGGTATTGAAAATCGATCCCAATCATGTGAACGCAGGCTATAGTAAGGCTGCTTGCCAAAATAGAAGAGGAAATTTTCAAGCTGCCATTCTTGACTACGAATTTGCATTGGAAAGGGATCAAGAAAAGAGCCAAATCAATGCTTCTCCTAAACGAAGGAGAAGAGTGCCTCGTTATATTGCAGAGGGACATAACACTTTTGAGGAGTATATGAAGAAAAAGGAGGAAACAGTGAAAGCCAACATGATGAAAGATTTTACAAATGATGTCGCCCTTTCGTTCGAAAAGCAAACCAATAACTCACAACTAATGAACAATAGTGGTGTGAGTGATGTATCCATCAGTAATGGCGTTAAGAGTTTACAAATTGGAGATCAACCATCAACTTTAACCAAACATTATCCACAATTAACCATTAAGGTTGGATCCAAGACATCAGAGACAAACATGGAAGAGATTTCTCCTCAGGTCGTTCCGATATCCCCAGCCATGAGCTTTAGACCAAGATCACATTCCAACTCACAAAACTCGTTACGTGTATCTACATCGAACGTTTCGCCAACATTCGAAGATGAAAATAATTATGATATGAATTACGAGTTCAATACCAACGAAGGAACATCTAACAATACTCAAGATGATGATATGAGCGTGAAGAATGCTGATTATTATCATTCTAGAGGGTTCTCACATAGAAAGAAGGGAGACTTTCTTTCTGCTATTAGAGACTACACAAAGGCTATTGAGCTTAATCCAAAACACTTTAAGGCTTATTTCAATAGAGGCTTCTCATATGATAAGCTTGGACAATATCAGAAAGCAATTGAAAACTACACAATGGCTTTGAGTATTGAACCAAGAAATTCGTACACTTATTACAATAGAGGAATTTCCTATGATAGGCTTCAACAGTATAATAAGGCTATTGAAAATTTCACCAAAGCGATAGAAATTGATCCATCCAATGCTGATTTTTTCCATAATCGAGGATTTTCATATCGTAAACTTGGACATTTTGATAACGCCATTCAAGATTATTCGAAGGCTATTCAAATCAATCCAAAACACTTTAAAGCTTTTTACAATAGAGCATTTTGTTATGACAAAATTGCCAATTTTCAAAAAGCAATCGAAGATTATACCATGGCAATATCAATCGATCCAAAGAACATTAATGCATATCATAATCGAGGAAGTAGTTATGAGAAGGCAGAAATGTATGAAGAAGCCATCAATGATTGGTCTACTGCTATCAAGTTGGATCCCAACAATTTACCATCATTTATTTCGAGAGGTCTGTTGTTGGATCGTTTAGGAAGATTTGAGGAAGCCATTCAAGACTTTACGACTGTCATTTCTATTGAAAGCAATCCAAGTGCTTCCATGTATATCAATAGAGCCACCGCATTTAAGAATATGGGACAATACGAAAAGGCAATTCTCGACTATACCAAAGCCATTGAAATCAATCCAAACAATACTCAAGTATATATTGATCGAGGATTTTCATATCGTAAACTTGGAAAGTATGATGAAGCTATTAAGGACTATACGACCACTCTGCAATTTGAGCCTGATAACATTAAAACGCTCAATAACAGAGGATATTCATATGCGAAACGCTCTCAATACGAGTTAGCTATTGCTGATTACGATCGAGTCATTAAGATTGATCCAAAGAATGTTCATGCCTATCACAATAGAGGCATTTCGTATGAAAAACTCAAGAACTATTCACGTTCCATTCAAGATTTCACAAAAGTCATTGAATTGGATCCCCAAAATGCTAACGCTTATTTCAATCGAGGAAGTGCCTATGATTCCATGGGAGATTTCGACAATGCCATTCAAGATTATACAAAGGCATTGGAGTTGGAGAATCAAGCTGCCAATCAACAGTCACCACCTGCGATGAATGAAAATTGAATGTTTTTTATCATCCTTATGTAACATAACATGCACGATGACCATACACACGACCAATCTACTAGAATCTCTATCGATTGAATTTGTGAAGGGTGGTCCAACAATCGAATCCAACCTATTCGAATAAAATTCGTGTGCACCAAAAAGCTTTGAGCGCGCGGTTGTATGAAGGCGCAATCAATATACAAGTTGTCTTTTAGGGAATATTACAAGAAAATATGTCTCAATCCTTACCTTCCTCGTCTGCCTCTAGAAGTCGACCACCGCAGCCACTCATCGGAACCTTTGTTTCTTCTTCATCACCAACAACAACTACAACAAGCAACAATAGTAATACAAACAACCATACTGCATCATCCATCCAGATGACCTCTTCAACAACCTCTCATCTCTCAAGACCTGTCAGTAGTAGTAGTAGTAGTGCCTCTTCCAACCAACGCTTGTTGTTGATGACCACCACAACCATCTCCACAAATTCTCCCAACCGAAACTCACCAAGTATTCATCATTCTACCACTACTAGTTCTTCTCACTCTGCATCATCTCATCCATTCTTTCATCATGAAGGTGAAGAATATTTGAAAAGATATCATGTTCATTTCTATTTGAATGATGTTCTCTCTCAATTAATTTTCCTTAGAGAAGAAGAACCTTTGCAATATTTGGCACAATAGTAAGTTGACTCTGTTCAATCAGATGTTCAATAAATACTATTTGATCTAGTTTTAGATCGGTCGTGAGTGGTACTAATATTATTCATAAATCCTTTTCATATGTGTTTGCAAATCCAAGAAATCGATTGAGTTTTGCAGATTATTTTGAACAAATTTATTCTAAAATTAGTAATGAACAAAGTAGGTAAGAAATTTAGATCACAATGAAACTTTAATACTGGCTTAACCTCAATAATATTAAAACAAATAATAATTATCGTAATTCGAATGTTCCAACTAATTATTGTAATTCTAATATTCCCATTTCAATAATTCTAATATTCCATACTAAATCATCAAGAAATGAACTTTTCAGAATACTATCAATTAACAACCTTACTCTGTGATGATTTTCCTGAGAATATAATGATTCGTATTTATAAGAGTGTCATCATGTATCCAACACTAATGAAACACAAAGAGTTATTTAAAGAATATTCTGAAGACCAGCAATTGCATTCATCCATTCTCTCCTTGTATCAATCGATGGATGAATCTATTGAAATATGTGAAGAAAAGAAAATCATTGAATTACCACCTTTTCAAACATTTATTATTGCCTTGAGAGTGTATTTATTTTTTTATGAATTTTTTGAACACGTGTTGGAACATGTCTTTGAGAATTCTTATTCGAATTTAGTGTCGAGTGGAGTTTTGAAAAAGATGGTTCATCCTTTATTGAAATCAAATTCAACGTATTGTGTTCCATCACAAGAGATATTTGATATCATTGTAGAGAAGAGTGTACAATTGAGAAGAAACTTGAATGATGCCACACCACCTAGTACTAATCAACATGACAAAATATCATTCTCGGAATGGTGTGAAGCATTTTATCAACACGTCATTGAAGTGAGTCACACAGTTACTTCCCAAAATGCTATGACCTCACAACCATCATCCACCACCTCAAATACCATCAATTGTGACGTGTTGTCACTCATGGATCCCTCACAGTTACCAATTTCTTCGAGTTGTGCAGAAAGACAAAAGTTGAGACTGAGAAAGGAGATTCTAAAAATTTACTCAGGCATCAAAGATAATACCATAAATAAATAATCTAAATCTATACACAGCTCACTTGTTGATAGAAGGCCTTTTGTATTATTATTCATCATTACATGAAATTGTTGCATTGGACTTGGAACAATATTTAAATGACATTCAGGTAAATTAAAACACAAAACATCTTTTTTGAAGTGAGTATTATTTAACTCTAAATCACCATTAAAAACTTGTCTGATCTAATTGCAGCTTCTACTTAATGAACATTCCACTTATTCAGTATTAAGGAAGAATTCAAACAAAATAATACATTACTTCGCATCTATACTCAAACATTATACATTAAGATCAAGCTATATTTTTAAATTTAAAACAATATATCCATATAACATACTTTATATCAGGAAACTAAGAAGTTGAAAATACTATTTTACAAACATAAAGAAAATAAGATTAGTTTATTATATCTTTTCATCGCTGATGAAAATATTATCTATTTCTCATTCTAACATAATGATTATTAATAAAACATAGAACTTAAAACAAAACTATTCATAACCTATTCCAAAATCCATTCGAAAATTAAAACAATATATAATTTAACGATAATCTTTGTTGTTTTCTTGTATTTTCTTACGGTTAGAAATTATTTGCTTTTACAATTCTTCTTTGTATAATTATTGTTTTTTATTCTTCTTTAATAATGATGTTTTAACAAAAGAATGCACAACAGTTCTGACAAAATTATTATTGGATTGAAGTATTGATTGTTCACAACATTGTTTTAAATCGTTTGGGGAGGTGGTTCATTGAAAATCACAAAGAATGGATACTAATCCGGTATCATGGTAATATAAGATTGTAGATGAGAAGGATCAGAAAAAATAAATCAAGAAAAACATTTCCTTCATTTTCAATCCAATAAAAATAAAAATTAAAAAACTTTCCTTAAGTAAGAATATTATGTAACTCAACAATAATTAAAAGGGTCAGTTGCATGCGATGATAAAACTCAATGAGTTCATTGAGAAATCCACATGGAATGGATTTTAATTCGGGAATATCATTGTAAATTAGAAATAAAAAGTCAAGTAAAAAACAATAAGACGAGTACAGAATTAAAATAAAGACCAATAATGAAAATCAAGTTGCCAAAATTCTAATGAGCAAATCAATTATGACCCAAAGTCAAGGAAACAACAAGAATTGACAACTCCTGTTCAATTTGAATAAATGAATAAATTGGTTCCAAAAAAATGCGTCCTTCTTCCAAAACGACACGTCTATTCTCGGGCCGTGTGAAACTCTCATCCAACAACCTCAAATTTATTTATTTTGACACACCAACAACAACAACAACAACAATACATTCATCATGTACCATTGCTCACATCATCCATCATCATTGCTTGAATGAAAAATTTCACTGTGATCGCTTTTATCACCAATCATCTTCCAATCATTATTCTCAACCATCCTCTCCTCATCAAAAATTACAACTATTCGATCAATCACCACCCATCAAAAAACAAATTAGAAAAATATATAAAGTCACCCATCCTGATTTATTCACCAATGAACATTACAAAAAAGTCAATTCTCAATCCCTCTCTACATTTCAAAATTTCATTGATGAATACAAAGGATATTTAAAGAATAATTTTTCAAATAGTAATAATAGTAATACTACTCTTAATAGATTTCAACTCAACAAGTATGATTTACAATTTTATATAAAAGAAAAACAAGAAATGAAAAAAATTACTCTCTTTGGCTTACCACAGAATATTCAATTATCCACCACTCAACAACATGAATGTTTTGTAAAGAATGTCGAATATTTATATTCTCAATTATTTGTGGGCAACAATGGTGGTGATGACAATAATCATAGTAGTAGTAATGTCAATAATGGCAACAATGGTACCACTTATAGTAATGACCATTCAAGGAATTCTTCTTCCCTTGAAGAATATTATCAATCAAGTTTTTTCATGACAACAACAACCAATCGTTCAAATCCATTTGAACAATACCATTCACACCACTTTGATCAAACTCCTTTTAACGATCCATTTGATCAACACCACAACACTCACACACAAACTTCTTCTCATTTCAACCCACAACATGTCATTCATATAGTCAATGAATTTAACAAGACATGTAATTTAGATTTTGAAATTTTATATATTCGAAGATTTGAAATACTATCTAATTTAATTAGAAACAAATTATGTGATTGTATTCATGCTAAATCTATTAGATTTTATAATTATTATGATACTTCTGATTTATTTGAAAAACAATATGAAACCATTATGAAATGGACTCATTTATTACATACTAAATATGGTATTGATACTTCCCAATGGGGTAAAAAAGAAATGAAACATGAAATTATTTCAAATTTGAAAAGACATGAAGATCCCTATCATTACTGTCATCATGGTGTTGATGATACTATCAACAAATCATCCTCTTCTTCATCCTCTTCTTCTTCTACTCCCATCTATCCCTATGAAATATCTCTTCTAAGAAGAAAATTAAATCAACAAATTCAAATTAAATTTGGAAGTGGACATACAGGTATTAACAAATTAGGATGGATTAATTTAAATCCACATGATTCTGCTCAACATTGGATGAATTATTTAATCTATGAATTAACAGATCAAGATATTGAAAGAATTAAAAATTATGAACTCTACACTGAGATGGTATTGAGAATGGAAAAGAAAGTAACAAGTCAATCATCATCATCATCATTACAGGATGATCATGTGGATGGTGTGAATAGGAGTGTTAGAGGTGGTGGTGGTAGTAGTATTTATGGTGATCATTGGAATCTTCTTGGTGATGATGATGACAAGAATCATCATTCTGGCACTGAATGGAAAAAGAACTCGAATCCATTCACCAAATATTATTATAATGATAATTTGAATAGTAATCATCATCATCAAACCGATCATCATCACAACAACAACAACAACATGTACATTCAAATTCAACAAATTACATGTCTCAATGATGAAATTATGCATGATGAAAGATATTTAAAATTATTAAGTGAATTGATAAGAATTGGAAAGAAGGATTTAAATATTGAACATAATGATTCAACTACTACTACTACTACTACTACTACTACTACTACTACGAATCATTTATATAAAATTATAGTGTATAGAGATGATGATGATGAACAACAACAACAACATGAAAAGACAAGAAGAACAACCAATCATCAAGAAGAATCCATTCGATCCAATTCTTCTTCCATTCAAATTAATCATCCATTCATTTATTTACCACTCAGTTGTATTGACAAGTATGACAGTCATAGACGTGGTCATGATCACAACAATCACAACAATCACAACAATCACTCCATCGATGGTCATGATCACAACAATCACAACAATCACTCCATTCATCTCTTATTGAATCAAATCATTCTTCAATGTTACCATGATTTAAATCACAATGATCAAGAAAAGAAACAATTAGAGATTCAACAAATGCTCAATGAAACGAGACATTATTTGAATTTAAGAAATTTAACATGTGTTCACGCTCTATCATTGAATGACATTTATGTGGCATGTATGAAATTAGTGAAATTTAGAGATGTTTTATATCCCTATTTGAAACATCGAAATGTATTAATTGTGAATGATTCTGATCCATGTATGGTGAGAATACGAAATGGAGAATTAAATATTGAAATACCATTTAATTTTTAAAAATGAGTATTGTACTGTGTAAATAGTATTAGTTTTAGTATCGGTGTAAATAGTATTAGTATCGGTGTGTAAATATTAATATTAATATATATAAACTTTTATATAATTAAAAGTTAGTATGACACTCCCAACTCCACAAGCCTTTTCAAAGTTCGTTATTTCAAAAAAAATGCATCGAACGAATAGTTCCTCACCGTCATCATCATCAACCTCATCATCATCACCATCCCTCTCTCATGATTCCTCATCATCATCCTCTCTTCTTTTTTTAAAATTAAATGTATCACTCTCTCAAGTGATGGATCAATTAATCTTTGAAAATGAATTTTTAAAACAATTTCATGAATCACAACATAATACTCAATTGAAAATCATTCAAGAATGGACTATGGAGGATCGATCACACACTACTACTGCCATACCATCATCATCCTCATCAACAACCACTGCCATTACCAATTCCTCAACATCATCAACAACAACCACTGCCATACCATCATCATCCTCATCTCCTTCATCAACAACAACATCATCAACAACAACAAACATTTCATCTCCATCATCATCAAACATTATTCACAATTATTCACAATTAATTTCACATTTGAAATTCATTCCTTCATCACAACCTCTCACTCTTCAAAGAATTATTCAATACAATCAAAATATTATTGGAAATAGTTATATTTCATATTTAGGAATACCATCTCAATTACCATGTCAATCCAATGAGAAATTAATTTTATATTATAATCGATGTGAATATATTATAACTATTGATGTGTTAGAAACATTTTTAAAAGATACATCAAAAACATGGATCAAATATATCATTCAATACGATGAAAAAGATCAAATGATGGTCATTGAAGGAATGGTTCAATGTTCATTTGAATCCAAGTTCATGTGGGGATTAAAAAGTAAAATTGAGAATCTCATGACATGTATGGCTACAAGTAAATTAGAAGAATGGTTTGAAATGGCAAGAATTGAATTGTTAAAGAGGAGGAGTGGCAATGGTGGTGTTCACAATCTTATTCCTAATAATGATCATTATAATAGTAGTCAGAGTGGTCATGGTAATAGTAATGGTGATGATGATGAAATTCATTCCATTCCAATAATGGATCATCAAACATCACCACCATCACCACCACCACCACCACCCACAGAGGTTAGATTTCAATTGTTGGAATCATCCACCAATGAGGAGAATACAAGACATGTGGTGGTCAATCAACATGAAGAAGAAGAAGGTTCTACGACCACCAGTGATGATGATACTTGCTATTATTCGATCCAATCATCAAGTGCATCATCATCACCTACAACATCCAACACCACTAATACTATTACCACCACCACTTCACAACTCATTGATCATTCCTATCATTTAGTAACATTGAAAAATGAATTATTGCAATTGAAAGCTCTCTCCAATCAACTTGATATGAAAATTAAGAATTTAGAGAATCACATCATGGCAGATCATCAATTACACTTGCTCATCAAAAAATACTATTCCAAAATTTCACAACTCATTCACACTCAGAAATTAACTCGATTTAGGTTAAAGAATCGACTGAAATTGCTTTCATTGATTTGGTTTATTATTGGATTGTTTTTAACACCCATACTCTATGGATTGTATCGATTTAATTATCGATACACCAATGGATTATTTGTTCGTAAATGATGAGCATAATACTCATCATAATTAAATGTTGTAATTAAATACATGAACATTTGATTCAAATCATTCATCGTGTGAAATAATTCAAGTGATCTTCTCAATATCAAAGTAGAGTCTAAATTTTCATAGACATGTCGATACAAGTAAGAGTGTTCCTTCGAGAGGAAGGTCCATAATTCTCCAAATTTAGGTTCATTCTTTTTACATTCTTCTTCAATTTGTACGAGTTGTGTTTGTGATGGAATACTTTTTAAAGTACTACTACTCGAATCACTACTCCATTCCATTCGATACAATAAAATCCATAAATCTCCATTTTTGGGATCTACTGTGAGTGCTTTTCTTAACCATTCTTTAGCTTTTTCAAATCTTCGTTCTCTATAAAAATCTAATGCTATTTGTAAAATCACATATGGATCACGATCACAGTGTTTGAGTGCATTAGCAATGGCTGCCTTTCTTTTCTGTACAATTTCTAATGGAATGGTGAATGACCATAACACACCAATGCTATTCTTGGTATTTCCAATTTTGGAGGTATGAATGGATTGAATGGATTGAATACCCTTTGAAAGGGTGGCTAGACATGTGGAGAGTAAAGTAGGAGTCATAGCAATAGGAGTACAAATAGTAGAGACATCCATTTGAGAATTGGATTGATGATATTCCAATTTCATCAATGCCAACCATAGAGATGCACTTGAAGGATTCTTCAATAATGCTCGATCTAATAATGCTCTTGCTTTGGTAATATTCATCAATGATTTTGGTAATACCAGTGGATTAAAATATAAACGAAAGAGAGATAACCATAATGGAATGGAATGTGGACAATGTTTCAAACCATCTTCATAGATTTTACATGACTTGTCAATGAGTGTTTGAAGTGATGATGATGATGAATCAGTTGGAGTGGTGGTGGTATTCGAGGTGGTTGTATTTGAATTGCTGGTGGTCAGAGTGGTGGTATTCGAGGTGGTGGTGGTATTGATGGTATTGGCAGTAGTAGGAGTGTTGATGGTATTGGCAGTATTAGTATTTGTGGTATTAAATGCATTCAAATTGGAATATAACACTTCTTCTTCATATTGTCCTCTCATGAGCCATAATTTGTGTTCTTTTGGATACTTTTCAAGTGCTTGAGTGAGAATGAATTCTTCCATACTCGTGGTTTGAAGTGAAAGTGGTTCTTCGTGTTGAGGAAGAGGTTGTGTGGTATTGTTGTCATGATGCTCTTTTTGACTGTACATTTCAATTTGTGAAAGAAGAATTCTTTTCATGGATTCATGATGGAATACTCTTCTTTCGAATTGAGCAGATCGAATCCATATGGATGCACTACTACTACCACTACTACTACTTGTACTATTATTACTAGTACTATTATTACCACCTCCAACACTACTACTCTTCAAGAAATGATTTCTTGCATGTTCCAATAATAATCTTGCTCTCAAATATTCTTCATTTTCAAATTCTAACTTGACAAATGCTAACCATATATTTTCATTGTTTTGATTGGATTCACTTGTTTTAAATGCTTCTTCTAACACTTGTCTTGCATTTTCAATATGATTAAATACTTTCCATTCATATTTAGCTCGAATTAACCATAAATCTTCACAATTAGGACAATTGGTAGTAGCTTGTGAAAGTAATTGTTGAAGACGTTCTTGTTGTGGAGTGTGTGGAATGGTGGTGTTCGTAGTGGTGGTGATGCTGGTGGTGGTGTTCGTAGTGGTGTTCGTAGTGGTAGTAGTATCAGGAGTACTAGTCGTATCTGTTAACACTCCCACATTGGAGAGTAATGTTGGTGCAGCACTCGTAGGAGTACTCCGCTCACAACAACAAGATTCAAATTCGTAACTATTCAACCAGACTGATTTTTTGGAGGGAAATTCTTTTCGCGCGCAATCGTAGATGGCTCTTGCAGTTTCTGTATAACCTTGGGATGCACAGGCATGAGCATCATTGAGATAGATGTGTTTCTTTTCTTTCTCTGTCATGTCATTCAATCCATAAGAAATTATTTCTTCAATGATGGCTCTACAGGTAAGAATGTGATGAGTCTTTTCAGCTTGTTTGGCATATTCCATCCATTCCTCACGTGAGAGAGAGCCATGAGTGGTAGTAGTACTTGAAGAAGTAGTCGTAGTGGTAGTAGTACTTGAAGCAGTCACTTGTAATAACTTCTTCAGAGTATCAATGGCCTTCTTGATTAAATTTCGAACTACACTCTCATTGTGTGGATTGTGTTCCTCTTCCAAATAAGCACCTGAGATCCATATTTGAGGTTCTTTGGGTAATTTGCTCACTGCTCTCGATAGAATCTTTTTAGCATTTCCATAATCGTTTAATTTCGCCAATGCTAACCATAATTCAACACTAGTAGGAATACATTCAATAGCACGTTCTAATAGAGTCTTTGCATTATTTTCATCTTGTTCCAATTCAATGGCTTCTTTCCATAATTGGATACTTTGAGGTTGAGTCGAGAGAGCCTTCCTTAATATTTTCTTTTTCTTTTCCAAATCACTTTCTAATTCACTTGCTTTGAGCCATAATTTCACAGAATGTGGTAAATGTTCAATAGCTTCACAACAAATGGATTGTGCCATGGTGGGTGTGGGTGTGGTGGTATCCACCAGTGTTTTTGAAGTAGTGGTGTCCATTGTACTACTCATCAATGAATGAGTACCACCACCAGCACCACTAGCACCACCAGCACCACCAGCACCACCACTACTTGTACTACTACTATTACTCATCATAGGGTTGGTAGCACTACTACTTGCACCACCATAATACTGTAAATGTAATCGTATCGATTCTAACCACAATTCTTCTGAATTTTTCACACAATGACATCCCTTTGCAATGATGTGACATGCTTTTTTCAAATCACCTGCTAATTCTTCTAAACGAGCACGTCCAATCCAACTACTAGCATTCATTGGTTTTACCTTTGTTGCTTTTTTAAATAATTTTCTATATCTCTTAATATCAGCATATTGATCTGTTCCTAATACAATTTGTGATTCAAGTCCACTCATATAATTTTTAGGATCAATGGTTGATTTACCACCTACAGACTCCTCCAATGATTGTAATTTTGTTTTAATAATCGATTCTCTCATTTCACCCAATGCTCTCAAATCAGTAAGAGTACCTGATTGGCCAGTACTTGAAGTTCGAATGGAGTTTACACCACCACTACCACCACCACTGAGAGAATTACCACTCAAAGTTGTATTGAATTGATCCAATATTAAATGATCAGGTGTAGCAGTATATCTTTCATACATTTGTTGATTCATTCGATTTGGATTTTTCAATGCAGTTGTACTTCCACTCACTTCTGGAATATTTGCCCACTCTTGTTTGCTTAGATATTTTAATTGTTCTTTAATATCTGAAAAGGTAGAAGCAATCATTGGTTTTTGAGAATCAAGAGATTGAGTTAACATGGAATATTTTGAATATTTAGAGGGTTGATTGGATGGTGATTGAGAGATGTTTGTAGTAAGAGTAGTAGTGGTGGGTGTTGTTGTTGAAGATGATGCATCCAATGGAGTTAATTTTTTCTTTTTTCTTTTTGATTCCAATCGTTGTGCGACTTGATCCCATATGGCATCTGCTTCTCGATCTTCTTCATCTTCAATTCCTGTCACACGTCCTAATGTGTTATCACCATAACCACTCCATTCATCAAAAGATGATGAATTGATCATTGCATCATCTTCCATCGTGATGGTATCATTGGTTGTTGAGGATGCTGTTGATGAATTTATAAAATCATTGACACCACCACCACTTCTTGAAGAATCAAATCGGCTTGAAGGAATCCTCGCAGGACCAATATCACTCCGAGTGGTAAATCCTGTTGCACCTCGACCTGCACCGGGAATATAACCTGGTGGAGGTTCACCAAATAGAGCATCAGCACTGATGAATTTACGTTCGGGAGGTGGTGGTGGTGGTGGTAGGATGTTAGTAGTAGTAATAGTGTTGTTGGATGGGTGAGTGGAGAGTGCGGACCGAATGGCTGCAGCGGTTCGCTTTGGATTGGTGAAGGATGATTTTGGATTCTTTTGAGGAGGAAGCATTTTTTTTTAATTTCATTCCGATGATGGGAGTGTTACTACAAAGATCAGCTTTTGGTTGAACCTGGTTCAACGTACGTTGTCATTGAAAAAAGATTCATGTTTGTGCGCCTTTGAGGAGAGAGATCTTGAATGATGAATTTGAGCATTTCCTCATTCAACTTGGTTGAACACTTCTGAGGCTGGAACGTTTGGGCTTTACCATATCTCCCATTGATTGGCATTACCATCATGACCTCAGCACCTCCTAACCTCCTTACCTCTCTCATCATCATACAATTATATACAACTCATTTACAACTTTAACCTCTCGAGATGGAGGAGAGCCTCTTCTCGTTATTAGGAATCGTAAAAAATGAGTCAATCCAACCACCCTCTTCTCTCCTCCTCGTCCATCTCTCATCAACAACAACAACAACACCGAAAGAAAGTGTATACAGTGGACGGAACTGTCTTTGAGGTGGATGATCACTACTCTATTATCAAACCAATTGGATATGGTGCATATGGATTTGTTTGTTCGGGAATTGATAAGAATACAAACGAAAAGGTTGCCATCAAAAAGGTTCCTAAGGTATTTCAAGATTTGGTGGACGGAAAGAGAATACTCAGAGAAATTGAATTACTAAAGACATTCCGTCATGCCAACATTATATCTGTCAAGGATGTCATGACAATTCCCGACAAAAGCACATTCAACGATGTGTAAGTAGGAATACTAGGTTGCGAATTGTTGTATTCAAAAAGAGTGCTGAATGGTCTCTGTGTTTGATATTGTTGTAGTTATATTGTAAATGAATTGATGGATACAGATCTTTATCAAGTCATAAAGTCAAAACAAGAGCTATCCACAGAACATATTCAATACTTTGTTTATCAAATTCTAAGAGGTTTGAAATACATTCATTCTTCAAATGTTCTTCATAGAGATTTGGTATGTTCAATTTTATCTCACCTCCATTTCTGACATTATTCATTAGAAACCAAGTAATATTTTGGTCAATGAAAATTGTGATGTAAAGATATGTGATCTTGGCCTTGCAAGAGGATTTGATGATCATAGTGAGATGACAGAATATGTTGTAACAAGATGGTACAGAGCTCCTGAACTCGTATTAATGTGTAAAGAATACAATTATGCCAGTAAGTGTTTAGAAAAGCAATTCCATATCTCTGAACATTTTACAAAGTTGATATTTGGAGTGTTGGATGCATTTTGGCAGAATTAATCGAACGAAGACCAATATTTCCAGGCAAAGATTGTAAGTAAGCAATGAAAACAATGTGTTGAATTAATTATTTTCAAGACATTGATCAAATCAATTTAATAACCGATGCTTTAGGAACACCATTGGAAGAGGATATGGAACATGTGAAACATTCTGAAGCACGAAGATACATTAGAAATTTACCAAAGAAAAAACCAATTCCATTCAAGCAATTATTCCCTAAAGCAAAAAAGGACGAATTAGACATTCTTTCTAAAATGTTGGTATTCAATCCAAAGAAGAGAATCTCTGCTGAGGAAGCACTTGCTCATCCTTATTTCTCCTCTTTGCATGACCCCAAAGATGAACCATCATCCAACATTTCTTTTTCGTTTAAATACGAAAATGTGGATATTACTGAACCAGAATTGAGAGATTCCTTATATGCTTTGGCTTGCTACTATCATCCAGAGATGTTGCAACAACAACAACGCAAGTAAATTTATCAAATTCAACCTGTTGTAAGAATCGTTCCTTTTCCGAAAAAAATTTTGAATTCATTCCCACCATTCATGAGCTCATGCACGAGAAGAATCATCAACCACACAAGAGCTATGTGAGAATTGAAAACAACTTGGATAATACTCCATTTGATCATGATGGATTTACATTCATTGAAGAGAGAATTATTGACAAGAGTGGATCACCTCCATGTGACTCGAATCAATTCACTCCGATCAATCATGATGGAGAATGGTACATTCGTGTATCACTCCATGAGGAAGAAGAATTATCGGAATGGTTCATCCACCGTCAAAAGCAAAATCCTAATATTACCAATCATTTACTGGTTGACAATTCAAAATGTTTATTCGAAAAGATGGAAGAATTTCCATTGCCATTCTCATCTCTCATCAACGAAGGGGTAACCATTCGGAAACATCCTTTCAAAAATTGGTCTGTTTTTTCGAATGAAAGTATTTCAAAAGGACAATTTATTGCTGAATATGTTGGAATTGTTCAACCAATCATCACAATAAGAGATGGACATTTGAACACACCTTATTCCCATAGCAATGAGTATACCTTCTCATTGAAAAATATGGAACAAGTTGAGATTGAAACTCATGAATTATGTGGAAAATATTATGGAAATTTTACTTCATTCATTAATCATTCATGTAATCCCAACGTGATAGCATTCCATGTTTTGAAAGTTGAACGAAAAGAAACTACTTTACATAATAATGAACCTACCATAACATTTACGATTAAGGAAAATCTTCATGTACCTCATGTCTATTTATTTGCTAAACGTAACATTGAAAAGGATGAAGAACTCACTCTCGATTATGGACACGAATATGTTGAGCATGTCATGAATGGAAAGTGTTTGTGTGGATCCAAGTATTGCAGGTATTAATATCCCTCAACAAGCAATTCGGCATTTAAGAAATTGCTCAAATTTTTTTGAACTGTAGCTCATATTAAACATTAAAATGCAAGTTCTCAAAGTTGCTCAATATGAACTTCAAACATTGCATGTCAATATGTGGATTGGCATGACGAGATTTATTCTCGATTGCAACATGCCATCTTGACATGATTAGAATTGAGTTTATTGTGTTCACGCTCCAGATTATTACATCATTCCATATTGTTGCATCATTTGGAAGTACAATTGTTGAATGTCATTAGGTGTCATGGTACTCAAAATGTGTGGAGGTATGTCAATGCCCATTTGACGCATACTTTGGATCATCTTTTTAACTTTTTCTTCTTGTTCCATCTTGATTCGTTGTTTCACAGCAGTTTCTAAGAGAGAGAATGTATCGGCTTGAGATGTATAGCTTGGTTGAGTGAATAATTGAGTGAATACTCTTGCTGGATCTCTAATTTGAGCATTCTCTGCCTCTGCCAATCTGAACAAATATTCACATTGTTCTTTCAATTCTAATAATTGACTTGCAATATTATCTCTCATTGCCATTGGTTTAGTTGCAAAATGTTGAGCGAGTGCGGACATGTATTCCAAGACTGCAATCTTTTGAGGTAATTTCGTTTGATTATTCAAAGTTTTAAGAATGGATCTCAAACCAGTGGCTAAACAATCTTCATGTTGTTCAAAATTAACTTTTGCAATATTGGCAAGTGTAATCACTGCATTCTTACTGATATTATCAACATGAGAAGTTAATAAAGGTAATAGTGAAGAAACAACACTTTCTTGTTCTGCCAAAACCATTGCACCTGATTGTGAATGAGAAATGTGTGATAAAATACTTGTAACACCTCTCAAAATTTCAGTATTTTCTTGTCCATTCAACATGGATGCTAATCTATATAAATCTTCAGGTTCAACAGATTTTAACAAAATAGCACCACCTTCGGAACCTCTTGGTACATCATCTTCCAATTCCTTCTTAAATACTTCAAATGTTGTTCCTGACTTTAAAGCACGCAAAGCAGGTAAAACCACTTTTTCATTGTCGGACAAACAACATTGGAATAGAGTTGGTAAGCCTTTGAGGGACATGTTGAAATGACGTCTTCTTTCAATTGAAGCAGGACCACAAATTAATTCACGAATGATAATCAAAGCACATTGATTTGTTTTGTCCGTATTGGTATCAAAGAATGTTGTAAGTAACTTTAAACACTTTCTGAGAGTATTATGTTCATAAAGAATATCCTTCTTTTCTTCCGCTGGGTCTTTTTTCTCTACTTGTTCCTTGTTATGAATATAATCGAATATAAAGAGAATACCTTGTTCTCTAGTCTCGGGATTTGAATCATTCAAATTTTGAAGAGCCTTATATAATTCAACTCGATTATATTTGGTGATGAGAAATTCTTCAATGGCAAAATAACTCAAGAGGGCAAGGCCTCCACCGACAAGGCAAAGAGGACCATAGCTAATGTCTTTTAATAAATGGCTCATCGTTTAGAAGAATTTAAAGAAGAATTTGATGATGAAAGTTTAAGAGGGATACAAGCCTTGCCGAGAATGAGAGAAGACGAAAAACAAGGCTTTAGCGTTGAATTTTTTTTCAAAAGGTGCAGCAAACATTTTGCTTGAAGGCAAGTTGATTGGATTTACAAATTTGGACTCTCTCCATTCACCCTCTCTCTCTCTCTCTTTGCATCTGCTCCAACACAACAAACAAACCAAAAGGATATTAATATTATGATATCAACAGGCCTAAACAATGGTAGTGATGTTGCTGATGCTGTTCATCACCACCATGGTCCTCGTTATGTCCTGTCTACCAAGACCAAACAAGTGTTGGAGTGGAAAGAGGGTGATGGAATGAAAACGAACCGTCGTGTGATGATCAACAACAACAACAACAACAATAACAACACTTTATCCATTCCTACCATCATCCACAATGAATTGGTTCGGAATGAACCTTCTCCTCATCTTCCTTTCAATCGACTCTTTCCCATGATGTGTCAACATTGCCATCATCGTCCACCCCTATTCATGATGATGGTAATGCAACCAAAGGACAATGAGGTTTCAGTTCAATCACAACAAGAACCACAACAACTCTACTGTTGCAATTATGTTATTGGACTTGATGAACCTTTTATTCGAATTGATCGTTCAATGACTCCAGTCTCCAAAGAGGAACATGAAATTCAATTATCCATACCACGCATGACAAGAACGAAGACGACGATGAAGGATCTAGAAATTCCTCCCCATTACAATCCTCATGTCTTGGCTGTGAATACGACACGAATTGAATCCGGTCATTCTCTACTCGTCGTCGTATCAGCTAATGATCATTCTCTCAAAACAGTTCATAATACTACTACAAGTACGACTACTACTTCTTTGGATTATGTAGAATGTGCTGGTGAACTTCGATTAAGACCAATAGTCCATCATCATCACCACCAATGTGTGAATATTCCTCTTCTTGAATGTATCGTTCATTCTCTTCCTTCTGACAACAACAACACAAAGTGTATCGTATGTGAATTATTATTATCATTACTATACGATGAACAACAACAACAACCTCAACAACAACATTGTTGGAAACAATCACATTTTGAACCTCCTCAACAACCACAACAACCTCAACCACAACCACAACAACAACCACAACCACAACCACAACCACAACAACAACCTCAACAACAACATGTGAAAACAATCATGTTTTTTGAAATTGTTTCCATCAATCTTCAGACTTCCTTCTTTGCATTTCCAGACATTCAAGTATTAGAAAATTGGAATCGATTTGGAATGGATGGATTTTCATTGTATCGATGCAATGCATGGGAAATGAAGGGAAGAAGGGAAAGATGTTTGAAAGATCAGAAAGAAGAACATGATGATGATGATGAACAACAATTAGAACAATAGAGATGAACAATAAGAATATCATGAACAATAGAGAATTAAACCATGATGGATTTGTTTGAAAATACAAGACTACTACTACTCGATCATCTTGTTTGAAAATACAATACATTCATGTTTCGATCTATTTGTTGCTACCATTATTATTACTACTACTAGTGCTACTACTACTAGTGCTACTACTACTAGTGCTACTTGTATACTCGAACATCTTTGTTTGAAAATAAGATTGCTGTTATTGTTGTGAATCTACTCATCTATTTCATTGAGGTGGTCCTTCAACAAATTGATGATTTCTCCAATTTCCAACCATTCGATGAATGACTGAGAGTATTTGATGTTTGTAATCACTACTGGATGCACTTTCAATCTGAATGGGAATGAATTTATCACTATTGAGAACACATGGTTTGAATAGACCATCCACACCTGATCGCATGGCATAGATACCCTCTCCACATTGAGCACTGAATCGACAATTATTGCAGTAATCCGTCTAATGAATGAATTCATCATGATCATCATCATCGTATTGATTCAAACATTTATGAATCATCATAATCATCGTAATCATCATCATCATGATCATCATCGTATTGATTCAAACATTTATGAACAATAAATTCTATCATTAATATATATATATAACAACAACAACAACAACTCTACTTACTCTCAATCTTCCACGTCCAATGTTCTTAATTTCAACACGATGTTCTGAATGTGGAGATGTTTTGTAAATTTTCACACGACCACCAAATCCTTCACGTGTACCACAAATTTCCACTCCATTCGATTCCAATAAATCTTCTAACCATTGAGGATTGGACCATCCAGAAGAAGTAATAGCATCAGTAGTAGTAGTAGTAGTAGTAGTAGTCGATGATTCTTCTTGAAATACGAGTGCTTTTCCAGAATCTTTCTCACCACCATAACCACCACCATATTGATTCACATCTAAATTAGAACGAATTAAGGAAATGACTTTCAAATCAATCTTATTAGGAAGTGCAAACTTGAGTACATTTTCAAATTCATCTCTATTGTATTCTCCTAAACTGTAATTAATTTGAACTCTATAACCATGTTCTTTCAAACGAATCATATTTCTCATGACTTGAGAAGCACCACCACCAATACCTGGTAATGATTATTAAATGGATGTGAGTGATCAGAGTAGTAAATTATATTATTATTAAATGGATGTGAGTGATCAATGTTGTCATAGTTGCAATAATTGTAATATTCAAATTCATCCAAAAATGGAAGGATATTAAATTGATTCATAATAATGTGTCATAATAAGATTTAATCATCATCTTCACCACCATCACCACACTCACCTAAATACTTTTTAAAATCATTCTCACGTGTGGTATGAAGAGAGGCATAGATGGCATCAATTTGTTCAATCTTTTCACTCTCTTTCAACAATCGATCTGCCAACAAGACATTTGAATTCAATACCACACGAGTATTCTTTTTATCAATACTTTTAAGAACACTCACAATGTCTTTACGTGCCAATGGTTCACCACCTAATTTGGATCAAAATCATTGTGAACATTCACATTTTGAAAGGAACCATCGATGTGGTGATGTTGGTGATGAGGATTGTTGTGTGTGAATATGTGCATCACCATATAAGGGTAGTAGTAGTCGTAGTAGTATCAATCAATCAATGTGTGTGTGTGTGTGTGTTCATATAATTATTGTCAAACATTTCATCTTGTCATGGCATTCACTTACCTGTAATATTCAATTGAGTTCCACCCAATTCACAGAAATCATTACACAATCGGATAATCTCTTGAATAGGAAATGGTTCAGGTCCTTGTTTTTTGAGAGGAATTGGATCTCCAGGTGATCGAGGATTCTTCATTCCTTCATTGTGGCAAAAGAAACAATTCATATTGCACGTATTTGTGATGGCAACACGGAATTTGGCATTTAATTGATTGTAAAGATGGAAAGAATTCAACCATTCGGAAGGATAGAGACCTTCAAAGGGATGATGAGAGGGTGTAATGATTTTTGTGGAATAGTTCTTGTGTGTGGAGGTATCAATACTACTGATACTACTAGTGCTACGACTACGACTACTACTTCTACTGATACTACTACTACTACTACTACTACTACTACGACTCATTGGATTCAATATTTGAGAGAATGTGGAGAGTGGAGAAGAGTAACCGACGAAATGACTGCCACAACGATCCAAGACATGGTCAAAGAGTGGACAAGATGACAAGGTTGACAACCCTGGCTTTGGATGAATGAACTTTTTCATATTTTTTAGTGTGTTGTTGAAAAAGAGATGAACTCGTTCATGGAGAGGAACAAAGGTTCAAAACGATTCATTATTCCCTCCTTGACCCACTCCAGACCCTTGTTTGCATCATCTTTGTAAGGAGGAACTTGGAACAAAGATTCAATCATCTACAGTTCCAAGAACGTGTGAGTTACACGGAAAGAGAGAGTCCAATGGACAACACTCGACGCGGATTCTCGTTGAGGTCAAGTGCATAATGTTAAGGCTCATCATTTTGATCAAATCGCAAAGCCAAATTAGAAGGACATCCTCAAAAAACACACCAAAAATAAATTTCCTTCTCTTCAACAACAACAGCAAACGAGTCGCTACGACTCTCAAGCACTCTTTCACCCACCAGCAAGACTTATCATCATCGCGGTTACGGAATTATTACAAACAAGTGAATTACACCATCATCATTCTATCCTTCCTCCTGATACTTGTCTAACTACATCAACAACAACAAGAACTCTTTGTACATTACTTTTTCAATTAATTGTATATAATATTTAATTTTGAAAGAACAACAACAACCGCAACAACATTAGAGAGCACTTGTCATAGAATTAGCCTCTTCTCTCTACTACCACTTGTAAATATTACTCCTCTCTTGTAACAACAACACACATATCTGATAGTATTAATATCATATAATATTAAAGAACATCACTTTTGTACAAATTCACTTTCATCCCGATACATCCATAATTTCAACAACAACAACTAACATTCAACCACTCACTAAATATATTATTAACAACTAGAAAAATCATTTCAACTCTACTACTGACACTTCAACATGACTTCACCAGGAAAGTTTATTGGTTCTCCAACAAAGAGAAGAGAAATGGATGTCATGAAACTGTAAGTGTACGACTAGGATGAGGTTTTGAAAAGCCTTATCATCATTGACCACTTCACTTTTGATATCATCATAAATATGAATCGAATCCAATATCAATATCACCATCACTCTCTCTATACTAGCATGATGAGTGATTATAAGGTTCAAATGGAAGGAGATAGTACTAATGAATTCTATGTAAAATTCTATGGACCAAAAGAAACGAATTATGAAGGTAGGTGTTAAATTTAAACACAACAACACATGACATGTTCACATACTCATACACACACTTACACAATAACAATACAACAACCCATCTCTAATCCATATATATAGGTGGTGTATGGAAAATTAGAGTATTAATTCCAGAGAATTATCCTTTCAAATCCCCATCCATTGGTTTTGCTAATACCATCTTTCATCCAAATGTAGACGAAGCGAGTGGAACTGTGTGTCTTGATGTCATTAATCAGACTTGGTCTCCAATGTTTGATCTCATTAACATTTTTGATGTATTTCTACCTCAATTATTGACCTATCCGAATCCATCAGATCCATTGAACTCTGAAGCTGCAGGATTAATGATTCGAGAACCTGAGAGATTTAAAAAGAAAGTAAGAGATTACATTGAAAGATATGCCAAGGAAGAACATGTGAAATTTAAGGATGAACAAGATGAAGAACAAGAAGACGATGCATCACTTTCAAGTGCGTCTGATCATGGCGATGAAGATGATTTGGCAGAATTTGAATTGTAATTAGAAGAAGAAGGTGAGAAAAGTACAATCAATAAATGCACCTGTGTTGCTGCTCACCTTGTTGTTCACTGACCACTCACAGACTGACATGATATCGACAATGAAATATCATGGAATTTATTTCCATTGATGGATAGTAATTGTGGTGATGAAATTGTTGTTGTGTGTCATTGAATGGTGTGTGAAAATTGGATTTTACAAATGATTGAAATATTATAATTATAAAAATGTCCATGTGGTTGTTGTTGTTACATTATAAAAGTGTGTGAAAGAGCAAGGAGTCATCGTTTGCTAATTATTTGTTCATGCTCTCACTTGAATATTTACAACAATTGACACTTCTTCTTTTGGTTACGAGCATTAGCAGTGGGTGGAGCATCCTTCAATCTTTGTTTCATTGCAATATCAATAGCCATATTAAAAGCCTCTGTTAAATTCTCCATTGTCTTTGCACTACATTCAATGTAACCACAAGCTTTGATTTTATCTTTCATTTCTTGTCCTTGTTCCGTAGTGACTGGAGAAATCTTCTTTTCCTTTAATTTCTTGACATATTCTTCATCTTTCTTTAAATCCAATTTAGTACCAACCAATACAATGGGAGTGTCTGGATTGTAATGTTTTAATTCTTCAGCCCATTTGGAATGACAATTCTCAAGTGAGTTTGGATTTTCTAAGGAAAAGCAAACAAGAAAGACATCGGTGCTGTTGTGATTGAATGTGAGTGAGTGAGTGAATTTGAATGTAATGATGATAATGATGGTGGTGATGGTGGTGATGGTGGTGATTGAATGTGATTGAATGTGATTGAATGTGGGTATGGTAGTGATGATAATGATGGTGATAAATAATGGTAGTGATGATAATGATGGTGGTGATGATGTTTTTTGGTAGAGAAGATCAATAATTACAACAACAACAACAACAACACATATAATCTTAGAATACATACTCTGGGTATGAGAGAGGTCTCAATCGACTATGATGCAATGATGATAAATACACGCACACAATACACACAATACACACAATACACACAATACACACGAAAGATTAACATTATATCATCATGATAATAATAAATGATCACCGTGAGTCATGAGTTGTGAAATGTGATTAGTAAATGATGTGATGTGAAATAGAATTATACTCGCTCGCTCGCTCTGAGAGATACATGCTATACTACCTACTCGTAACTATTTCATCACAGAGTTCATAGTTCACATCCACACCACAATCATGAGCATCACAGTTCATCATCATCATTGTGCAGTTAACAACAATAACAATTGAATAGTATACTCTCATGAACACACACACACACACTCTCTCTCTACTTACTCTTCTTGACCTGCAGTATCATATAAAGCAATACTAACAATACCATCTCCATAGGGAATGTTCTTGTTGTAGTTATCAAAGACGGTTGGGACATAGTCTATGAAGATGATGATGCAATGATGATGATGATAAGAGGAATGTTTGAACGAGAATGAACAACACACAAGAGAGAGAGAGAATGTGCACACACACACACACACACATATCCATTATTGATGACCAATGAATGATATGGTCAATGAATATCATCAACATCATGACGAACACAGTGCGTTGTTGTTGAGAAATGAGAGAGAACATTCCCATTTGACAAAACATATGAGTGTGAATGATGATGATGATTCAATTGTTATTGTGATAATAGAACAAATAATAACATTGAAATTTTCAATTATGTTAATAACATAAAATAATAATAATAATAATAATATAACATTGAAACTATTATTAATGGTGTTCACTCTTTCATAAACCTACCCTCTGGGAAACATCCTGATGAATAGGCAATTAAAAGTGCAGTCTTACCGACAGCACCATCGCCTACCACTACACATTTAATCGATTCCATTCTATATGATGTTTTAGAAAATAGGTGCAAAGATCAGAAACGTTGTTCTTTCGAGAGGATGACTTGTTCTTAGATTGAATTTTTTTTAAAGAGCAACAGCCATCAATCACTTGTCAATGAAGGTTACGACAATAGAGAACAAGGAACAAGATGGCAATCGATTTGACGATTGAGTTCTTTTGAAAGACACTGAGAGACAATTCGACAAAGAACAAATTGGTTTTAACTGATGACATCCAATGAAAGCCTTTCAATGAGAACAATAAATTTGGATCTTTGCACGTTGGATCAAACAAGTTCAACAAAATCATGAAACAATAAAAAAAATTTGAAAAAAAAATTGGTGTGGATTGTTTCATCATCATCAAACCTATATATCCTTTGAATTGTTGATATTTGAACGCGGAATTGTGAGCACCATCCTCCTCATCATCGTCGAGTCCTATTCTCATGATTTAAAATTTTATAAAAACAACACATCATCAATCCTATAAAAACCTCTGAAAAACAACACTAACCACTCGAAACATCATCATCAATCCTATAAAAACCACCATCAACTCTTAAAAACTATAAAACATCAACAACTCTTAAAAACATTCAATCTTATAAAAACCCATCATAAACATGATCCGTAAAAACGCTCGTCTCCGTAGAGAATTTCTCTATAAAAAATCCCTCCAAAAAGAAGAACGTGAAAGGCTTGATCGTAAAATTCGTATTCGTGAAGCCTTAGAGAAGGGCATTCCAATCAGTGAAGAAGATATCCGAAAAGAAGCAGAAGAAAATGAATTCGGAGTTAAAGAATATCTCAATATATTATCCAACAAGAAGGATGAGAATGATCCCAAAGCTCAACTATCAAACATGATTGATAATGAATATGCCAATGCTGGTGCTCAAGATCCTAAAATACTTATTACTACTGCTTTGGATCCTTCCGATAGATTGAAACGATTTATGAAAGAATTACGATTTCTATTTCCAAACTGTCAGAGAATGAATCGTGGTAGACAACAAAATCAAGAAATTGTTGATGTGGCCATTCAAAATGGATTTACAGATTTGATTATGGTACATGAAAATAAGGGAGAACCTGATACATTAATTGTCTCTCATTTACCTCACGGACCAACAGCATACTTTACCATGTTCAATGTTGTGATGAGACATGAAGTATTAAATCTGAAAGAAGAAAAGATGCCACAACAATATCCACATTTAATATTTCATAATTTTAAAACGAAATTGGGTGAAAGAGTGGCCACCATTTTGAAAAATATATTTCCTGTGCCAAAACAAGAATCCAATCGTATTGTAACGTTCGCAAACGATAACGACTTTATTTCATTTAGACATCATGTCTATATGAAGAATTCACCTGGTGTTGTACCACCCATTCAATTGAAAGAAGTTGGACCTAGATTTGAGTTACAATTGTTCCAAATTCGATTGGGTACTCTTGCAGACAAGGAAGCAGAATTGGAATGGGTATTACGACCATACATGAATACAGCATCCAAGCGTCAAGCATTAGGAGCTAGTCGAAGTGAGCTCACTCAAGAAGAAAGTAACAAGTTAACAGCAATAAAATAAGAGTCAAATGCATTTCGTGCTTCTCAACTATTGCCAATTATATATGTGATATATAATTATTACCTTTATGATTGCAGCTCATTCAACTATTGCCAATTATAAAGGTGATATCACTCACTCTTTATACTATAACAATTACCTTTATGATTGCAACCAATAAGACAGGGTGAGACAGGGCAATCTATACACATGTCAGTAGGATTTATTCATTGTTTGTTTTTGCAAATCCAATTCTCTGAGTTGTGTGCTGCTTAATTTGAGATCATTCATCGCCGGCATCGATCCATATGTTTTTGGTAACAATAATGGAATACACACAATATCGTAGGGTTTGAACTTCTTTTCATTCACACGAAGCTCATTGCCCTTTTTTGCTCCATTGAGTGTCTCTTCACTCACAACCAGTACTTGTAATTCTGGATCTGTTGCGATTGGTCCCCATGGCTCGTACAATTCAAAGATCTATGAAATTTCAAAGTAAATTCCTCTAGTCTTGGACACTCAATGAGTCGAAAACTTACATTTACAAATTTGGGATTCAATTTGGGATTAATTTCTTTCATGCATTTCAGTACTCTATCTCGTCTCACTTCAAAAGATTGAATCAACTCTTTATACTTTTTGTTTTTCAATAAATTTTCAACTGAAACACCAATTTCAATTTCTCTTCTTTTTTCACAATTAGGATCATCATTCTTAAACAATAGCAATGTTTGAGTTAATAGAATTTTGTGACCTAAATGTAAGCGATCAAAGGTTCCTCCCACACAAACGACATGATACTTGGAATATTGTTCTACAGTTCCCATCGATTTTGAGTCCTGATCCACTTGTGGATTAAATAGATAGGAATATTTGTTATCATCATCTTGTTCTTCCAAGTTTGGATTTGAAATTTCAATGTTATCAAAAATAGAATTAAAATTATTTCTATAAATGGTGCAAGGAAAAGACGAGAGGTTTGTGTTGTCATCATTTTTGATCCAATAGCAATCAAATTGTTGTGATGAATTGTTAAGAGAAGAACAAATATTGTGATCGACATGTTCCACTAAATCCTGTTCATTGTCAAAAATTGGCATCATGACATTAAAATTATATTTGTAATAATCTTGAACTCGGGATAATATTTCCGAATAATATTCTTTATAAAGATGAATCTAGATTTAAATGTTAAAGGACATGTATATCATTTGACAAATAGGTAAATCATTCATCACATTTGATAAAATGGTATCATGATAAATGATCATGAAATGGTATATCAAAACATGATCCTCGTCATCATCACAAGTGTTTAATAACATACACTCTTGAATAATTGAGATTGTTCATTCTTTTGTATAACAATATGAAATTCTAACGCTTGATATTGCGATTTTCTTTCATTGAATAATTTCAAAGCAGATGCTAGAAGAGAAATGTTTTTATGGACTTGATGAATATCTCCAGGAGAGGGAGTGAGTACAATAAAACATCCAAGAAAAGATGAAGAAGAGAAGGACATTTTTTTCAATCACAATCAACAATGAACGAACGAGAAAGGGTTCCGTGTCACATGAATGTACTCTCTCTTGACTTTAATACACTACTGCATGAAATGAGTGAATATTATTATACTCATTCAGCCTTTAAGAAACTCTTTTCTTTCATCTTTTTATAATAACACACTCCAATAATTGTTACCAAAATAGATATCACTAGAATAGATCCAAATGGAACAACAATTCCAATAATAAGATTTGTATAGTCCACATATTCTGGTACTTTTCGATCTTCAAAATCAATAAATATTTTGATAAAGCTCATGACTTGCAATCCATCAACTTCATTTGGTAAATATCCTACTTCACCATACAATCTCTGACCAGCAAAGAATTCAGAAGGCAATGTTGAAGGTTGAAATAATGGGAAATAAATCGTTTCATTTCCAACATAATATTCACCTCGATCGAGTTTCTTGTTCACCATTCCTCTCGAATCACTCAATCGATTGAAATTATAGAATTTGATGGTAAAGTTTTTAGAAATTGGAGTGTAGAGAGCAAATGATGGATTCTTATCAGTATCATTACCAATAACACTACTACTCTTGAAAAAGTATTTAAAACTATTTCTAATTTCACCAATAGTTGTATTTTGATTGGTACTGATAATAGTCACATTCATAGAATCTGTCAAATTTGAATTGGTGGTTAAAAAGTCAGGTTTTTCTGTAAATTGACATTTCATTCGGAATGAAAAGGCTAGCAGATCAGTACTGTTGACAATCAAACATGGAAAATCTCCATCCAAGGATATCCCTCCATATTGAATCGTAGATTTTGTACAGTTCAAAATGGGTGTGAGCATGGTAGCAGAACATTGAAATTTTCGTGTACTCTTACAATCACTTCCAACCTTATCTAATGGACAAATACATGCATAGACAGCAGTAGTGTTGGTATAGCAAGTGATATTGTTGGTATTATTGGAAGTAATATTTTCATAGACTTGTTTAGATACTACTGTGCCATTACAGACATAGGTGATCGAGTCATAACCCACATAGACAGATCTCTTATCACAGTTATTGGCAGGAGCTGAAGAATTGGAGAGTTGAATTTTACGAGATGAAATTTCGGAATGAACTTGTTCCAAGATGGTATGAATTGTTTCATCGGAAGCACCTGCATGGCGTAAATCATTTCTTAGTTTCTCTGTAAAATGTTGTTGAAGTGAAGGTGGTGATGGTGGTGATTGTAATGATGATGATTCCATCGTATCAAGAGAATAATCCTCTAATGGAGTTTGTTGCAACGATCGCTCATTCCATCTCTCACTGTTCATCTTTCCATATAAAAATAAATCCAACATGTTCTGAACGGATATTGGAATGGATGGATTATATTTATATGTTCCTGGATTTTCTAAATCTTCTTCATGAATATTATAATTTTCTAATAATTGATAAATGAGAGGTTTCTTGAAATTTTGTAAAGAATCACCAAATAATGAAAAAACATTGATCCAAGAGTTGAGTGTATTTTCAGAGGGTAGTAGTAAATTTGAGTACTCTCCATTTGATGATTGACTCTTTGGATATTTAGCAATTAAATATCTGATATGTTCTTCTCTTTGAATTTGAGCGATTCGTTCTTTCATTTCTTCCATTTGTTTCAGTGATGAAGAAAAAGTTTGAGGAAATGGCAATAACTTGTTATTTGTACTATATACATGATTATTGTCTGTTGTGGTTGTGGTGGATGCATCAAACCCGAATGTCATTCCAATAGGCAATGTAGTTGTCATCAAAATCATGACAAGTAGCAACATCATTGTGATGGAAAATATGGAATCAAGAGAGAACCGATACCGAAGCGAGGATCGTTGAGTGTGCGTTATTTTCACCATGGTGATGACCTCGTTTTTAATTCTGAATCTACCATCACAACAACAACAACAATGGGAAGAAAACGGCGAAAGAGCGAATCGCGATTTCATTTTTTCTTCTGAAGCGCACTTAACTTTCACTCCGCTTTTCATTGCGTTGTGATCGATCAACTAAAACTGTGTCACAACCAAGGTGGAAACTTCTAACCTCAGGACTCTTGGGAATTTGTTGATCACAAAAGATGCACACTGGTCTTCAAAATCACAATTTGGTCATTAATTCTATTTATTTAATAATTTAAATTTGACATGAGTGCCAAAAGATATATAAATCATCTTGTGATTACTTGGAGGATGATGCATCAAAACCCAATTGTTTCATTCTTACTGCAGCCTCAAACAAATAGTGATAAACTTCTGCATGAGTCTTTGCTTCCACCCAATCTTTACCCCAAATATAAACACCATGTCTCTTAACCAACACTGCAAAAGTATTTGGATACTTTTCAAGAGCTTCCTTCAATGAATCAGCCAATTCATTTTCATAGGCTGTGTTTTCAATGATTGGTACAACCAATTCATCGTAGAATCCACATCCACGAATTCCTTTAATCATTTCCAAATGAGTAACTTTAAATTCTTTATCATAAATCAATGTAGCTAACATGCAAGAGAGAGCATGAGAGTGAATCACAGCACCAGCACCTCTCATATCATAACACAATTGGAAGAGTGGTTGGCAAGCAGAAATTTTGAAATTATATCCATGGTCGTTTGGAGAATAAACGGTTTTCAAATGTTGGCATGATTGAATGTCTTTGACTTGAACATTAGGATCTTCTTCCATCACAAAGATTTGGTCTTCTTTGATTCTTTCTTTATGAATTCCGGAAGGAGCAATATAAATCTTTCCATCCTTCTTGATGGAAATACCACCACCAGTACCGGAGACCCATCCTTGAGTGTAGTATAATTTCATCAATTCAACAATGACTTGTTGTGGGGTGTGTTTCTTTTCATCGAGTTGGGTGTAGTCAAAATTTACAATCGAGCAACCGCTGTTGGTGGATGTAGAGCACTCGGAGGAAGGTATGGATGACATTTTTTTTCAAGCAATTTTTGCACGAATGTGTTGTTGAGCCTGGTTTGCATTGAACTACAACATAAACGTATACATATGGCTCTCTGACACATTTTACTTCATCACCATCTCCAATGGTCATCTTTCGAATGCTAATCTAATGGATAGTAAGAATGTTTGCACAATCTGAATTAATTCCTTTATTGCTCATCATAAGGATGGAACAATTTGCAAATTGTTCTCTCGACTGTGAGAATACTAGTATTCAAATCAATTTTTTAGCCTTCTTAAAGACATAATTAACAGTGCCGAATGGTGTGTGAATGAGAGAACTGTTGAGACACTTAGATGTGTTTGATAATTCTCGATCTCGAGTGATAACACAAATTTTTGGAGGATTGTTTTGTGTTGAGAATTTGTTGCATAAATATTCTAAAGTGGAGAGAATTGCCAAATCAGCAGATTGAGGTTGTAAATTGGATTGTGACATTTGCAAATTGCCTATCGAATCAAATGAACCCAAAATTGTATGTTGATACTGCTTTCTTAATTCTCTGTATTGCTCCTTGACCTTTGTTTCTTCTTTGGATGAACTTGAATCATCATTATCCATAATGAAATTATAGCAATCAAATACATTTTTAGAGTTATCTTTTTTCATTCCCTTTTCATAAATGTATCCATTATAAAAGCACCATAAATACATATGTGAAATGTCCTCATTAGTAATTCCAACATTTTTTAACTTTTGAAAATCCAAACTCAATTCATCTGTTGCCCAACTATCAAAATCCACTAAAAGGATAACCTTCACACGAGTAGGATCAAACCGTTTTTCAAATCTCTCAAATTCACATGCATGGCATCTACATGGCATAACCTTTTCCAAGTTAAAATTCATCCATTTCGAAAATTGGCCCCATCCAGCCATCTTGTTTTTAATATGATCAATCTTTTTCTTTTCTTTTTTGCCTCTATTCGCATTGTGGCCAAAAGGATTGCTCATTGTATAATTTTCTTTAGGTTTTGATTCAGGTAACTTGGAAGTTATGAGATTCTTCTTACATTGTGAAGAAAAGAAATATCCAACAGGATTTTCGTTTTCAAATTCAGAAATGTTTTTTGAAAGTTGGTTCCTGTAAAAATTCGATACTTGAATAAATTTCGGAACCGTAGATGATGTTTCTGCTTCATAGTGTTCATGATGATTTAATTCATCCTGGACTGTTTCTTCATCATTATCATCACTATTATTTGAATTTCTAGAAAGATTATTATTCAGTGGTAAATTATTTAAATGTAATTTCCATCTAGCCTTGATTGAGTTAATGAGTAATTTCATCTTTGAATTCTTTTTAATCTTTTCATCAAAGGGAGTGGCTTCAAACTTTGTATTTTCCTTTTTGTTCCTCTCGGAACGATCAGCTTGTACTTGACTTGGAGAGGTCAAATCCAATTCATAGAGAAGAGAGGCATCATGTTTGACCTGAGGAAGGTGGGACTGATGTTTGGTCTTCATTTTTTGATGTGTTTTTCTTATTAATTAATTATTATTATTTGATGGATGAATACCTTTTGTTATAGCCAATTTTTTTTCCAATTCGAAAAAATAATAAAAATTGAAAAAAATTGAATCGTAGTTTTTGGTTGAGTTGTGGTTGCATCCACAGATTAATTACTCGGAGCATTCCATCACACCACCATTCAAAGCTTGAACATCAAGCCAAATTACCACCAAATAGCCTTTCTTTGAACGCAGTTGCTATTTTTCATAATAATATCAGTCGGTCAATTACTCAATTGGTAGTATTATTGATCAAGAATTCTTTCCATCAAGACTACTTATCATTAACCTCCAACAAGATGATCACCCGAAAGCGAAAGAAATCCATCCCAATTGAAAAATCTGAAAATCATGCACTCCCTCCTCTCAAATCAGAAGACTCTATCATTGCCATTGAAGATTTATATGCAACATCATCATCAAACGTTTGTTCATCATCATTGTGCACTGAGCAAAGGAATGGAGAAATTACAAAAAAGGAACAACAACCACATGATGATTCAGAATTTATGAAAAAATTCAAAATGGAATATTATTTAATTAAAGAATACAGAACGGCAAATTTAACGGCACCGGTGGATACAATGGGATGTGCTTCGCTTTCAGATAAAGATGCTGATGAAAAAGTTCAAAGGTTTCAAATATTGGTATCACTCATGCTAAGTTCACAAACAAAGGATGAAATTACAGCAAAAGCAATCAAAAAATTGAAAGAAAACAATGCACTCTCTGTTTCTCAAATGGATGAATTATCAGAAGAAGAAATTCAAAATTTAATTTATCCAGTTGGATTTTACAAAAGAAAGGCAACTTATTTAAAGAAAGTTTGTAAAATTTTAAAAGAAAAATATGACAGTGATATTCCAAATGATGTGAAGGGTTTGCAAAGTTTACCAGGAGTTGGTCCTAAAATGGCATATTTGTGTATGAGTACTGCTTGGAAACAAGGTATGTTTGTGTGATTCAACATTTGATAGTTAAGAAATCAATGTTGCAGTCGAGGGCATTGGTGTGGACACTCATGTTCATAGAATTTCCAATAGATTAGGTTGGGTGCATACAGATACTCCAGAACAAACAAGGAAAGAATTAGAATCATTTGTTCCTAGAGAAGAATGGGATGTCATTAATCACATGTTGGTTGGATTTGGTCAAACAATTTGTAAGTATAGATGACAATTAATTATTATTTTTATTATATGTAATAATCGAATGAACAGGCAAACCAATAGGACCTAAATGTCTTGATTGTGTCGTCAACAAAACATGTCAATTCTATCAAAACAATAAGGATAAAAAATCACCCAAAAAGAAAGTGAAAAAAGAGGAGGAAATCGACTCAAGTAGTTCTCAAGACGACCAAGAATGATCATCATGATTTGTAAATTTATCGAATTGACTATGACACTAGTTTATTTTCTCTTTTTCAATGAGATTGTCATTGCGTGTTGTGGTGACAATCATTTTCAACCACGCATAATGCAAACCCAGAGAACAGTAAAAGGATATAATCATCAAGGGAAGAAAAGGAAGTCTGTTTTGAAAAATCAACTTGTGAATGCAAGATTGATAAATTTCAATAACAATTAAACCAAACAAATATGATGCTTCACTGAGTGTGAACAATGATTTTGAATCCAAAGAATTGCTTCTAGTCGCAATCCAAATGTACCTTAATAATTGAACAAATGCAATCAATAGGAACCATCTCACAAGTAATTCTCTTGGTTGGAACAATAAAGGGAAAAGGGAGTATGTTCCAATGATGGATGTGAAAGCAAATATTTTGAAATGTTTTTCAAAATTGTGAGAAGAACTTGTTACGAGTACTGCCAAAGGAATCAAGACACTCAGAATGGCCTTTTCATGTACATGCCAACCAAACATAAAGAATGCAAAAACGGAATTCGTAATGGCAAGTAACATGGTCTGAACGTAATTTCTTCGTTCTTGATTGCGCCATGCTCCAACAATATAATATGCACAAAGCTGAAACCATTATATATAATTCATTAAAAAGAAAGTGACGGGTCAAGTGCATTATAATATAGTACGTACTGTAAATGAGAATAAAAGACAAAGTATAATGGTCACTTTAGGATGAATTGTTGGAAGAATAAGGTGAGTGCCTTGATTCAATCCTACGAGACCACCCGTTAGAGAAGCAGTTTGTCCTTCATCAATCTTTACCATTCTCAATACTTTTCCAAGTAATACGGATATCATCTTATCTGCTGTGTTGTAGAGCGCCCAAAAATTAGGAGCCCAATAGGCATGTGTTAAACCTCTCTCGAATGGAAATAGTCTTGAGAGAATTTGATTCAATTCCATCTTCATGGCCATCCATCGATGCATGGTTGTTGAGGCATTCCAAGAGGCACTCAATAAAAAGGGTCCAAAGCTCATTACAAAAATTCCAATCACACTCAAGCCTAATCGAATGATTCTGCTAAGGAAACCAAATATGATGGATCCATCATGATTTGCCAAACAAAAGTGGAAAAGAAGGAATAGGAAATACGCTGGAGCCATATATAAATTTAAATGTTTCATATTCAATAGTATTGAGTAAAGAATTCCAGATAGAATATATCTTGCATTCCGTAAGGCTATCAATGAAAATATAAATATTCCGAATAATATTCCATTGTACTGAAAATGAATATTATCAACAATGACTAGTCCTGGACAACCATACAACAAAATTAATTGAAAATATTTGTTCAGAAATTCATTCTTATTGTCTTTCACCCAGCAAACACAAGCAATGAAGTAAATGAAATCACTCATAAAGATGACAGTTAATCTTTGAAAAATAATCAATGGAAGAGTTTGTACATGGACACCTCTTTCTACATGACACCATATTGGTTCATTTTCAGGGAGCATTGTAGAATTGACATAAGCATCACGAGGATGGTTCGTGCTGTTACGCTCTAAATTGGCCCAAAATCGAATTACATCCAATGAAACTCAACAATTTTTCAAAGAATGCAAAAAAAGGAGGATAGTCGAGTGTTGCATTCTCCGAGCTTGTATCATGATACCATTGGCTGATCGGAAGAGAGTTTGTAATGGCCAACCAATTCCGATGAACTTCAAAATCTGTGCTAAAGCTGAAATGTGAATGGCGGTTAAAATGATCATTCAATCGATTCATTGCAATCAATGTTTTGAAGCGATATCAGGGCCACGTACGTACTAACTAGGAATGAGTAATATCTTGGTGATGGCCATCACAATAAAGATGATGATGA